CCTATGGTTTGAGTTTATCAGTTCCTATTGCATTTGTATCAAGAAGAACTGTGATTCGTATTTTGTTTTTTTTTCATCATGAATAGGCTTAGTTGAAAGTGTTTGATTTGAAGATATTTGATAGTAAAGACCTGTTTCATCAATATTATAAATTTTATCTAGAGTATACCGGCTTAGAAGTTGACGAAGCTTAATTCTTTCTTCCAGAAGAGATATTATTAGTGCACTTTCTGATTCTCTATGTATTCAATACTGACAGATGTTATTACGTTTTTTAAAACTATCTAACTAATCATTAAAGAGTACCAACTTATCTTCTTATATATTGAATGCATTGGCAAAAAATCTCACTTTTTCTTTTATTAATGAATCTATTAAGATAACACCACCTGCTATTATACTTTCTATCCACAAATTCATAGCTCTGTCAAGTTCTGGAAGCTTAACTCTTTTATTTTTGTAAATTTCCTTAGAACCTTCAATTTCTAACACAGAACTTCACCTTTCACTCTGTGCCAGTATCTTTGTTACAGTACTACGATAGATTTTTAAAGTTAGATCTTTTTTGTTAAAATAGCTGGCAATTTCTTCATGTTTTTTATTTTTATTATTTTTTGACTATTCACAAATTTGATGCTTAAGGTTAACACTTATGGCCAAACGGTGTTATTTGGATGATTGGTCAGGAGGCATTATAATATTCAAAAATTAGTTAGGGAAGAATAATAATACTATTATAAACTACCACTTGAGTTAGAATAGTAAGGATATAAATTTATTAGAAAAGGTTTGCTATGAATAGATAGTAAGAAGTCATTTGGAAATAATTTTGAAAAGGGGTTTTTAAATGAATCAATAATATTGTAACCACTTGATATTTCCAATAAAAACATATTGACACTTTAAACATCATTTTTTTTATTGAAAAAAAACTATCACTACGAAAAGAAAATTTTTCTTAACATTATAGTATTATATTTCTAAGTGTGTTACATTTAAAAAAAAATGTAACACATTTTCTCTAGTGTTATATTTTAAAATTAAGATAATCAAATAATCAATTTATCAAACTTTTTTGATCTGTAGCCAATTAAATCTCTTCAATATAAGCCCATCAGAAATTTGTGACTATAAAGAGATCTAATTACTAATAAAAATGATATATATATTATAGATCATGAGGTGATAGTGACTATAACTGATTTGTGATTATAAAGAGGTAATTTAATAAGCTTTAAATCCGTTCTGCAAAAATGGGTTCTTATATAAAGGTGTGACTATATACGGTATGAATATATAGAGATCTGACTGTAATTTGCAAGTTTTATGTCAGACTGATTATTAGAAATGTTTATACTATTATGAGAAGTAGTAATTCAACAGATTGCTAGTAATTTATATTTGTAAAATAATGTGTTTATTTATGAATAAAATAATAAAAGAAGAGAAATAAAAGAAAATAAAGAAAATAAAATAGAAAAAGAGAAAAAATGAAATACTAAAACTAGAATGTAATGCAGTAGGCCAGTTGCCTCTTAAAATTACTAAAAACTAACTTGTCAAGTTTTTATTTATCTGTCTTTTTATATGAACTAAAAAGCTTTCTATTTATACAAAATAAATTACATAGAAAGATATAACTAACATATTTACTATATCAACTATATCTAATATGTCAGTTATACCTAATATGTCAACTATGTCGAATATATCAATTATATCACATATGTCTGATATATCATATATATTATTTATGTTAAATTAGTTGATCTTCTGCACTACATAAGCTGTATCACATTTATCTGTTCACAACATTAAAAAAAGATAAAAATGAAAGTTATAATAATATTTGAGTAAGGTCAAATATCCTTTCCTAATATATTACTAGGTAACGGTGATAATAGTAATAGTAATATATTCCATAAGACTGAACGATCCTATTGTTATCTTATAAAAAGATTGCATATAATACCTTATAACCAAGAAGTCTTATATGTAAAGCTTTAACTAATAATCGCATCTAAAATGCAATCTTAACCCTATCTCTTAAGAATTCATATTAGATGTCAACCATTAGATAATGATATGAAAAACTACTTTCTCTTTCTTGTCAGACCTTTCAGATCTATAGAAAATAATAGAAAAATAATTTCATATAAGTCATCACCGTCAAAGAGTTGATTACTACAATGATGTAATAAGTGTATTTAAAATAAGAGAAAGTTTTTTTATTAATTAGAGATGCTTTGAAACTTTAAGTAATTTAGTGACGCATGTGTTCTATATAAGTTCATAAGAATATATTCTAATAAAATCTGATTACATATGGGTATCAATCAAAGGATGTCTAGAATACCACTTAATAATTAACGCATTAGGTATAAGCATGGGTATGAAATTTACCTTATGATTGATGTTCGCAGAAAAACTTTCTTAGTTATTATCATCATCATTAGAAAGCGTTGTAAGGTCGATGAAACATATATAAAGTATAAACAAGTTATCAATCTTAATAAAGTTCATTTCACTTTTTTTGTTGTTTGTACTAAAATATACAAAGTGTTAGAAGAGAGATATAATTGTAAAGTTTTTAAAAAAGTATAATAATATATTTATTTGATTGTGCGAATATTTTTATTGGTCATAAAGATCATGCTTTTTTTAGAAATATTACTAATACGAAGTTATCAATAAATTTCTTGTTTGAATATAGACAAAACTGGAGAAAATATACAAACTTTAATATTATATTCTGTCATTTTTTTTAAAAAAATATCTTCAAATTGTGTTTAGTAATTTTTTTTTTTGAGAGAACCAGGAGGATTTTGTTCTTTATCATTCTTTAATAAAATTAAGATAATAATTTAATGTAAAAATCTTTGAAAGTAAAATATATAAAGTTCAAAATTCGTTAGAACTTATTATAAATAATATCGACGATTCAACTATTTTCAAATTTTGAATTACAATTCGCTAATTATTTGGAAAATTTTTTTGATATCACTCATATTGGTCACAAATTATCTGTATTACGTAAAGTTTTTATAATTAATGACTTCTCTCCTTTTTTTACTAAAACTATTCCATAACCATTTATTTTTTATTCTTTTTACCTAAAAAATAATATTATAGTCGGTTGGTCACGGTCAAAAATGCTTAAAATACATAAAAAAGACTAAGCTTTATTGAATATTGTACTATCTATTGGATATTAAACTATGTTTTAAGAGAACTTTTACAAGTGAATTTGACAAAGTTTTAGTATAAAAAGGTTAATCCTGCATTCTTATAAGAATATGTTTACATTCTAAAACTCTCAGATTCTAATATATCCTATAGATTTTTGCAAATAAACCATGGTGGTAATGGAAATAATTGTTAGGATATGACACTAGAGAAAAGCTAGCATATCTAAAGAAAGCATACCAGTATTATTATGTAAGTATACTTACTTAGTTATCGTCATCTTGTCATTTTAGCAGCAGGATGGTCTGAATATTATTAAGAGAAAGGATATCATTCAGGCCGTCAAAGCACAATAGAACTACATTGTGTCTCATAAATGAAATTATTTCATTTAAAATTACGAGGGATCTTATTGGTGATGTGGTGGCATAGTTGTGTTTGAAGGGTGACCCTCCTATTCCCAGTTTCTTTTTATATAAGACATTCTAATCGTGTATATTCTTTTTCCCAGATAATGTAGGTGATGATAAGATGATTACCAGACTTATCATAACGGGTCTCAGATCAAAGCTCAGTTTATTATTTTATTGTTAATTAATTTCTTTCTTTTCGATACCTCTCTCAACATCTCTAATAACTTCATTCCTTATTCTACAGTCTGACGAAAGAGAAAGTTACTAAATGTTATGTTCAGACTTCCTATTAAATAAATTAAAGAAGATTATGAACTTTCAAAAATCTCTAACAAATATTGTGCTATTATTAGTTACTGTGTTAGGTTTAAAGACGTATTTATTGCTAAATGTGTGCCAATTTAATTGGTAAAAAATGCATTAGATTTGAAGAAACTGAAATGAAGTTTGGACGATTTTGAAAATGATTCACAAGAGTCAAGCGATAGCAAATAGAATTAATTCTCTGAGTATTTAAATTTTTAACCTGACAATAAATTTTTTTATTTTCTAAAATATTTTTAATTTACATCTTTTCTTTTTTATATTTTTTGTTGTAATTCAAAAGCAAACTGTACCAGAATTACAAATATTCGATTAATTACGCTAGATTTATTTAGAATTAATAGCAGATTGGACGTGAATATTATAAGTAGGGAAATAAACAAAAATATTTAGCAAAATTATTATCAAATCTATTGAATAAATAAATCCTTATTAATCGATCATTAGAAAATTAAATAAATTAAATAAAGATCTTTATTAAAAAAATAACTTTTTTTCGTATAAATAATATCTAATAAAAATTTTAATTATTATTTAAATACTAATTAAATATTAAAAAAAAAATTTAGATTTAAATAATTTTAAATGATTAAAATGAATAAATAATTTATTTTAAATTTAATAAATTCATTATCAAATTACTATCATAAATTTTCAGTTATAATATATTAATATAAAACAATTTTATTTAACTATATAAAATATAATTTATTGATAAATAATATTGATAATTAGAAATAATTTTAAAAAATATAATAAAATTTTATAAATTAATAAAATTGATTTAATAAATAGTTTAGATGCTTATATTTTTTTGTGATCAAGAATTAATTTAAAAATTGCAATATATATTATTTAACAAGTAAACTAACATCTTTACTATAATTTTACTATAAATCTAACGACCTTGAACCTTATTTATAAATATATCGTGGTGATGTGTAACCGAAAATTATAAATAAATCAAATATTTTATATCCGTTGTGAAAAAAATACTTCGTTGAAAAATTTTCCTAACCATTTATAAAACCTGAAATTTAATATCTGATTAAAGTGGGTTTTTAGCCGTGTTAAATTATGTTGGAATCGATTTGGGTTCTACATATTCCTCGTTGGAGTTGGAAAAACGATCGAATTAAAATTATTATTAATGACCAGGGTCATCGTACGACGCCTTCGTATGTCGCTTTCATCGAGACAGAAAGTCTTATCGATGATGCTGTAAAAAATCAAGATTAATATGAACCCTTATAATACTGTAGTTAATGTTAAACGTCTCATTGGACGTAACTTTAGTGACGAAGTTATTCAATCCGATATATTAAGATAAAATTATATCTCAATCAGATTCAAAGGCGAAAAGAAAGATTTCACACCCGAAAAAATTCAGATTTTTGCTGTCATTTGAAAATTTTTTTTTAATAATCCCAACAATAATAATTCAAAAATTAGATCTATTTGTTCTATGATCTTGTTAAAGTTAAAGGAAACCGCAGAAGCTTACCTTGGTACAAAAGTTAATAATGCCGTAATTTCTTCACCAGCTTACTTTAATGAATCTCAACGTCAAGCAATAAAAGATTCCGGTGAAATCGCTGGTTTGAAGGTATTACGCATAATTAATGAAGCAACCACGGCGGTTATTACTTATGGTTCGAATACAAAAGCTTGTGGTGAACGAAACATTCTTATCTAAGATTTAGTTGTGGTTCGTTTGATGTTTCACTCCTAACTATAGAAGAAGGAATTTTGAAGTAAAGCCGTTGCTGATGACACACATCTTGGCGAAGATTTCGACAATCGACTTGTAAATCATTTCGTACATGAATTCAACCAAAAATTTAAGGAAGTTCTTACAACGAATGCACGTACTTTCTGTCGATTAAGGACAGCTTGTGAACGTGCAAAGCGTGAACTTTCATCATCATTAAAGCTTCGATAGAAATTGATTCTCTTTTCATATATAACAATTTCTATACCTTCTTAACACGTGCAAAATTTGAAGAAATTGAATCAAGACTTATTTCAATCTACAATTGAACATGTTGAAAAGTATTTCGAGATGCTAAATTAGACAAAAGTCAAATTCATGAAATTGTTCTATTTGGTGGTTCAATATATATTCCTAAAATTCAAAAGATGGTATTTGAGTTCTTCAACGGTAAAGACCCGTTAATCCTGATGAAACCATGGCCTCATTCAAGCTGCTATTTTATCTGGTGATACTCTGAAAAGCTCAAGATTTTCTTTTACTCGATGTCGCTGCTTTATCTCCGGGTATTAAATCTACCGGCGGTATCACACGCTTATTGATAGATTTACCCGAAAATCCTAATCTGTTCTAACAATACGAAACTAAACATAATTGTGGCTATAGTTGCGGGGCAAAACCTAAACCCATTTTGGCAAAAGTCGAAACTTTTCAAAAATTGTTTCGACAGTTTCGATGGGTTTCGACGGGTTTCGAGGGTTTTGATGGGTTTCGAGGGTTTCGATGAGTTTCGATGGGTCTCGAAAGTTTCGACGGGTTCGATAACAATTTTGCGATTCTTAAAAAGGACGTAAATATATGATTATGTGATGGCCAGCATTAAATAAACTAAACTGTGGACATAATCGATAATCAGACGTACAGTATATGTTTATTTTTTATCTGCTTAAAAGTAGAGGTTGGAACCGGTTAAAATAGATGAATTTAAATCCGGCCGAAATTCAATTTCCGGCCAGAATTAAGATTTTTATGATTGCAAAAATATTGTCTAACTCTGGCCAAATTTATAGTACTGAACCAAGTTAATTTAGCCGGTTAAAGAATTTTCGGCCGGTTCCAACTTCTACTTAAAAGGAAATGAAATTTTAAATATGAACGCGAGCAGCTTATTTCCTAGATCATAAGCATACAATTACTTTTTTCCTTAAATTCATTCATGTAGGATTCTCAACAAATAGAATATGTTCCTTAAAAATGAAATATAATGGTTCAGTGAAAAATCTTCAAAATCATCATCAATTTTAAATGAAAACCTATAAAAAAGAACTCTCACATTTGGAAGCGCGCGTGAGCTTTGACATATTCGTCAAACGCTTTATAAATATTTTTATGTGCTCGCTTGTTATCTTAACGAACTTATTTAGTTTGAAAAAATTCAAAATTTAATATGTTAAACATTAAAATATAATTACTTGCATTTCATAATAAGATAATCATCTACTAATTTTCAGAATCCATTTCTTAGAAATCCCATTAGAAATGTGTTCCATAATACTTCAATATGTGTTAACAGATCACCTGTCAGTCTTCGTTATGTATAATATTGGTTATAGCAATCAAAAGTTTTTTTATTTTTTTTTAAAAACTATTTTTTTATTAATCATTAGGTTTTCTTTCGACTTAGATCATTTCATAAATAAGCAATATGAATTTTTTTTAAGATCAGGTTGCTGAGATATAATATTTTATTATTTCTTTACTCCATAATTAATTGTTTTTATTTTTTATTTGATCGCATAGGTTAGGTTTTTCAGTCTTTTTTCTTTGATAATTCCACTATAATTTTATAATTTTTCTTATATCCAATTATATTAAAAAAGAAATTTTATTATAAAATAATGGTGATGTAATTATGACTCAATTCTATTTCCGCACTTATGCATTACATTAAAATAGATTATTCAATTTTTTTGAATAGTAATATTATTCCTACCAAGAATAGTCAAAAATTAAACCCAACTTGTAAAAACAAATAAATTTTTAAATTAAAAATTGTATTTTTAATAAGATGGGTATTTGGTTATTCTTCAAAACTTTGTCCCCATTGAAACTTTTGCCACCTGTTGAAACTTTTGCAATTTTGCCTTTAATAAAAAATTTGGCAAAACATTTTGATGAGTTTCAATTTTGATGCCTGTCAAAACCTCCAGATTTTTTCTGACAACCTTAATTGTGGTTAAACTCTTTTAAGAATAGTTTAATAAGCTCAATTACATCAAAGATTTGATGAGTTTTTTTTTAATCACAAATTTTTGATTTTTCTTAGGGGCTTGACGTGATTTTGATTAGTCTGAATGTAAAAAAAGTTGGTAAAATGAGATATAGTGTTAAATGACACAGATATAAGCTCATTAACCAACCATTTTTCTAAGTAAAAAAAATTTAAGACTAATAAATATGACGTAGTAAATAATGAGTGAAGAATATGGCACAGTATATTACGTAATATTACATTAATGTTAAATGCAATTTCTTCCTTAGAAGGAGTTACAAGATATGCCTGTAAATGTGATATGAAATATGTTATCGCAAATTGTGGTAGAGCTATTACAAGTAGCACATGTCTGAATTGTAAAAATATGATTGGTAAATATCTTATAAACAAGCAGAAGGAAACATCAGATTTGATATTATCTATCTGCGCAAAAGGTGATATATAATCAAATAGGATATATTGAGAATCAATTAGTCAATCCTTGAATCATTTCATAAGATAATTATACTCTATATCATATCGTATTCTGCATTTAATTGTTCATATTCTTATCACAGTATCTGCACTTCAACCAGCCCTCGCTTTCCTTCAAAAAAATGATCAAACAGTTACAGATGTAAAATTTATTATATGAACCATATTCGAAATGATTGGAAAGTTCTCAAAAACCTTCTCAATTTCTCAGATGAGGTATATTTTTTTTATTCATTTTCATTAGAATTATTAATAGCTAATGACAATTTATAATTATTAGACTTTAGTACTAATGTTCTATTTGTTAATTTCTTTAATAACGAAAAATCCTTCATCATTAAATCAACAAATTAAAACAACCGTTGAACGTGAAAATTGGGAAACAGAGTTTTATAGAAATTATATTATACCAAATTAGAAATATAACTGAAACTACGACTGACCATCATATGAAATTAGATATTGCTTTATTAAAGAATCAAAAGCATCATAATATGATTGAATGTGATATTAATCAGACTTTGGTTATGAATAAGCAGTATTGAAGTGAATATTTGCCAAGTTTATGAAAGATGATTGGAAAGGCTAACTTTGATAGTTTTCATGCTTTTATATAAGCGATTCAACAAATATGATTAATTATCAGTTCTTTTCATTCTATTTCAAATACTAATGACGATTGAAATTACTTCAATATCTTTGACCTATTGCAAAATTTATTCAAATTTTGAATTCAAAACTTGGATGTCAGTTAACTAGGCAAAGGGCAAGGAAAATAACCTTTAAACAGTTGATAGGGGACAAAACTAATGGTGGTGAAAATCTCACTGCATTTGTTGACTTTGAAATACGGTTATTCCTTTTGTAAGTCAATATTAATGCTATGAACTTTCTAATGATAAACCATTCATGAATTGCAATCTTTCAGTAGTCTTTGGCTTAATGAAATCAAAAGATAAAGGAATTTACTTATGTGCAAATATAGATTATTTAGTTGCTTTGCAAAATGATTTCCTACAAAAAATTGCAGAAATTCCATGTAAAACTTGTAAATTTCTTAAGTTTTTAAATGAACTGACTAACTCATCTACTTCCAATATACCTAATAGACACTACCTTCATATGCGTATTGAACAGGCTCAATCCAAAAATATTATCCATTTTGATTGGAATAATGAAATTCTTACATATAATCAACATAATTTGGCTATTACAAAGGGTTAGGATATAGTTTATTACTTTGCAAAAATTGAGGCAAAATTAGCAAAGATTCTAGTTTTTGAAAAGATTTATATAGTAACTCAATTAGGATCCCAATTACACTTAGAATCTTTTTCGTATTATATGAAACTATTCTGAAGATGTGTGAGAATTCTTAATGATGTTAAATTAAAGATTTAATACTACAAAAACCAATCCCAATTGAGAAAACTATTCATTAATTATTTCTAAAATAGCTTTAAACATTATGGGTTTTATTATCATTGGAAATGCTTTTGTATTCTGTTAGATATACAGCAATTAGAGAATGTGAAAATCGATTAAAGATTATATTTTACACTCATTATTCGATCATGTAGGATTCTCTAAATTTATTAATATCAATTTACGACTTAAGCACTTGGTTGGTTTCTATGAATTTATTGAAGAATAAGTCGTCAATCTTCAAATTAAAAATATCAATAAAAAATATAAAGCTTCACTTTGGAAAACATGAAAACTAAAATAATTTAATCTGTAAATTTTAAATGAACTAAGATCAATAATAATATCAGTTAAGTATTTACCTTAACTTTAAAATAATTCATGTTTTTATTTTTAATGACGGAAGATCAAAGCAAAATGGAACTATTATATATTTACTTGGATATTTTGTTAAATTATTGGCCATCAAATGTTTCGGAGAACTATATTAACAATTTATTTTCAACAAATTTAATGATAGTAAACATCTATGCCACTTATAAATTTTTGATAAAAAAGGTTGAGGTAAAGATGATAAATTATATTTATTAAAGTTATACCAAAAATTTACATTAATTCTTAAAAAAATTCTTTTAGAAATCAAAGTATAACTCCTTATTTAAGGCAGTTTTTCTTCTTTATTTTTTTATTTTTATATTGGCTAAATAATCTTGAAGTACTTATGAAAAATGTGTAATAAGGCCTTTATTGCAAGGCAGAAAAAGGATGTAATCAACTTAAAAATCATTAACGTTAATTAAGAATAGTTCTCATGATTTTGTTTAATATAATTAGAAAGATACGAGGAATAACTCAATGAATCAACCATTATTATTAAATTAAAAAATAAATTATTAACAGAATATAAAAAAAATAATAACTAATGCTTATATTTGAATAAAAATTCAAAATTTACAAATAATAATAAAATAATTACAAAAGAAATCTGACCTGAAAAATTTTTGACCAGTTAAGAATACCTTAATCTGAAGTAATCCAAACCTGTAAGAATTCGCCT